AACACATGGGAATTATGGGAATTACAAATCAAGATGAGATTTGAGTGGAGACACAAACCATCTCATTCTGCTCCAGCCCCTCCCCAATCTCATGTTCTTGCATTTCAAAACCAATCATGCCTTCCCAACAGTCCCCCAAAGTCTTAACTCATTTTAGAATTGACTCAAAAGTCCACGGTTTCATCTAAACAAGGCAAATCCCTTCCACCTGTGAGCATGTAAAATGAAAAGTTAGTTACTTTCTAGACACAATGGGGGTATAGGCATCAGGTAAATACACCCATTCTAAACGGGAGAATTTGGCTAAAACAAAGTGGCTACAGGCCCCGTGCAAGCCTGAAATCCAGTGGGTGGTCCTTAAACTTTAAATTGCAAAAATGATCTCTTTTGACTTCGTATCTCACATCCGGGTTACGCTGATGCAGGAGGTGGGCTCCCATGGCCTTGGGCAGCTCTGCCCTCATGGCTTTGCAGGGGATAGGCTCCCTCCAGGCTGCCTTCACAGTTGGTGTTGAGTGTCTGTGGCTTTTCCAGGTGCATAGTGCAAGCTGTCAGTAGATCTACCATTCTGGGGTATGGAGGATGGTGGCCCTCTTCTCAGCTCCACTACACAGTGCTTCAGCAGGGACTGAGTGTTTGGGCTTGCACCCCTCATTTCCCTTCTTCACTGTCCTAGCAGAGGTTCTCTGTGATGGCTCTTCCCCAGCAGCAAGCTTCTGCCTGGACAAACAGGCACTTCCATGCATTCTGTGAAATCTAGGCAGAAGTTCCTAAACCTTAATTCTTGACTTCTGTGCACCCATAGTCCCAATACCACGTGTAAACTGCTAAGGCTTGAGGCTTGCACCCTCTGAAGAAACAGCCTGAGCTGTTCATTGGCTCTTTTTTAGCCCTGGGTGGAGCTGAAGCACCTGGGATACAAAGCACCATGTCCTGAGGTTGCATAGAGCAGGGAGGCCCTGGGCCTGACCCAGGAAACCATTTTTCTTGCCTAGGCCTCCTAGCCTGTGATGAGCGGGACGGCTATGAAGGTCTCTGACATGCCCTGGAGACATTTTGCCCATCATCTTGGTGATGGGGGAACATTTGGCTCCTGGTTACTTATGCAAATTTTTTCAGCTGGCTTAAAGTTTTCCCCAGAAAATGAGTTTCTCTACCGCTTCATCAGGCTGAAAGTTTTCTAAACTTTTATGCTCTGTCACCTCTCAAGGGCTTTGCTGCTAAGAAATTTCTTCTGCCAGATACCCTAAATCATCTCTCTCAAGTTCAAAGTTTCACAGAACTTTAGGTCAGGGGGCAAACCCTATACCAGCCTCTCTACATAGCAAGAGCCCTCTTTACTCCAGTTCCCAACAAGTTCCCCATCTCACTATCAGCATTTTGGTCAAAGTCATTCAATCAGTCTTGAGGAAGTTCCAAACTTTCCCATGTCTTCCTGTCTTCCTCTGAGCCTTCCAAACTGTTTCACCCTCTGCTTGTTACCCAGTTCCCAAGTTGCTTTCACATTTTCGGATATCTTTACCGCAGCATCCTACTCCACTGGTACCAATTTACTGTATTAGTCTGTTCTCACACTGCTAATAAAGACATACCTGAGACTGGATCATTTATAAAGGAAAGAGGTTTCATTGACTCACAGTTCCACATGGCTGGGGAGGCCTCACAATCGTGATGGAAGGCAAATGAGGAGCAAAGCTATGTCTTACATGGTGGCAGGTGAGAGAGCTTGCCTAGGGGGACTCCCCTTTATAAAACCATCAGATATTGTGAGGCTTATTCACTATCAAAACTCTCCTTGTCTTCTATTTCTTTTATATATATATATATGCCAGCTGCTTTGTTTTCTCACATAACCCTGGTGAAGAGAGGCTAAAAATACATCTTCTCTTGTCCAAATGCATTTATATCTCTAATCTTGCTTCATTTCTAGGAATGGCATTTTTTAACCATCTAAATGTATGGAATATGGAATACATTTAGACACTGAGATGTGTCTGGTCACACATGTCCTTGTCTACCTTCCTCCCTGGAAGGTACACTTTGTGAGGACATGGACTTTGCCCATTTTGTCTTTTTTTAATTTACTTTCCTTTTTAAAATTGATATATAATATTTACACACATTTATGGCATACATGTAAATGGCATTTTAATAAATGCATATGATGTGTAATAAACAAATAACATTATTCGGTATATCCATCACCTTGAACATTTATCGTTTCTTTATATAGGAAACATTTCAAATTTTCTCTTCTAGTTATCTTGAAATATATAATACCTTGTTTTTAACTACAGTCACCTTACCTTTCTAACAAACACTAAAACTTACTCCTTTTATCTAACTGTGTATTTGTATTCATTAACCAAACTTTATTCATGACATTCCCTGTTCCAACACCCTTCCCAGCCTCTGGTAATCATCATTCTACTCTCTATCTCCATGCAGAGAAAAGGGAATTCTTACACACTGTTGGTGGGAATGTAAATTATAATATAAACAATATGGAAGTTTCTCAAAAAACTAAAAATAGAACTATCACATGAACCAGCAATCTCACTACTAGGTATATTTACAAAGAAAATGAAATCAATATGTTGAAGAGAAAGAGATATCTTCACTCTTATGTTCATTGCAGCTAATAAAGACATACCTGTCTTTATTTCTTCTGCCAGTTGCCCTAAATCATCTCTCTCAAATTCAAAGTTCCACAGAACTTTAGGTCAGGGGGCAAACTCTACGCCAGCCTCCCTGCATAGCAAGAGCCAAGATGTGGAATCAACCTAAGTCTCCATCAGTGGATGAATAGATAAAGAAAATGTGGCATATATACAGAATCCCATTTTGTTTGTTTGATTCGCTTTTTAGTGCCTAAAAGCTTGAGAGATTTGGAGATTACTTGCAAGAATTGGTAGCTTAGAAAACCACACTGCCATGTGTGTACCTATGCAACAATCTTGCATGTTCTTCACATGTACCTCAAAACCTAAAATGCAATAAAAAAATAAATAAAATAAAATAAAAATAATAAATTAATAAATAAAGAATTGGTAGCTTAATAAATATTTTCTTCATGAATCATAAAATCAGTAAATTTTTATGTTTCTTATAAGTGGTGTAGAAGAGTGATGTGACTATTAAACTATATTTTTAAACAGCTTTATTGAGATATAATTGACATATAAAATTACATATATTTCAGACATACAACTTGACATTTTGATATACATATACTTTGTGAAATGATCACTGCAATAAAGCTAGTTAACACATCTATTACTTCTGCATTGTTACCATTGTGTGTGTATATATGTGTGTGTGTTTGTGTGTATGCGTGTGCTGGGGGAGGGTAATAAGATTAAATTGAAGCTATATCCCCTCAGCAAATTACATTTATCCATACAGTATTGTTAACTGTCATCATTACGATGTACAGTAGATATCCAAAAATTATTTCTCTATTGTTAGGTTACCGAAAAATGACCATGTTTCGTGACTTTTCTTCAACTTGGTTTTGATCTCAAATTGTAAATTGAAGTTTTACCTAGGAGCTTTGACGCTGGAACTTACAAAGTTCAGCTTGAATCATGCAATTATTAGGCTCTTAAAGTCTTAAAATTTACTTTGTGTAAATCATACTAATCTTAGATCATATTTTTGGCATTTTTAACATCGCATTTCATCTTTTGTTTACAGATGTGCCAGATAATGGAGTCTTAGAACAAAAGAATCATATTTGTTTTATTTTTGAATAAATTTGCTGTAGCACATGCATAGTACTTAATAAAATATTTACCAAATGAGTAAATGAATGAATGAATGAATGTAATGTACAAAAGCATACATAGTTGAACATAATTTTTTTCTGTTTTATTCTCTAACTTGCAAATTATAAAACTTATTTAATCAAGAACCCTCTTGCACATCTATTCAGTGTAAATACAACTAGACTTGGAGTCTAGTTTTTTCTGTCTTACTATCCTAACTCTGTCCTTAATTTTCAGTTTTGTATTTTTACTAAGTCACTTAGCAACCTTAGGCCATAATTTCTTCGTGGAAGTGCCCCCATGATACTAATTATCTCAAAAAATGTAGAAATAAAAAAGAGTATCAAACTGTTTTTTAAAAAGCTTAGACATATGCTGTGAACTGTAATAAACATTATACTATTTTAAATTTTTATATTTTTAAAATTATTTGAGCCTTACTTAAGAAAAGTGAGTAGTCTACATAATGGTGACATACTACTGTCTCCCTTCCTGCTTAATGAGGTAATGTATGTGTCTTGTTCATAATAAAGACTCAATAAATGGTAGTTGTCATTGTTGTATTAACTATTTTATAGCCTGCCCATCCAAACTTGAAATTACATTTCTTTCTTCACTCAGTCGTCGTTTTGAAGGAAGAGTTTTGTTTTTAAATATGTTAGTTATTCACACATTTCTTTTCATCTCAAAGGAAAAAAACAACTTCCTTTCAGAATATTATGAAACCCTGAGTACATATTTTTAATGAAAACTCCATTAACTTCCTACAACATAGTAAATACCCCTTCTCATTCTTTAGAATCAAATTCCACATAAAATCTAGGGTCCTCTTCTTATAACTCCATTTTCTTAGAACTCTCTCTCTTCCAAAGTTACCTTTGGCCCTTTCAGTGGGGAATGCAAAGGAGGTGTGATACTTTTCTTTGCAGAGCTAGTGACCAACCGAAGGGAAAAAGAAGGTCATTTAGCAGTAGATAATCAATACAAAAAGCATCAATTATTTTAATGTTCAGCTTCTTGTTCTGATATTTTAAAAGGAAAAAGTTTTAACCGAACACCTTAATCACAGAGTAGAAGACCAGATGCCATAGCAGAAACATGTAATACCCTTAGCACTCATAACTATCATATAATTCTACAAGGAGCTCAAAGGTTTACAGTATTCAATGGTTTTACATTCTGAGAACCTGAAGAACCCAAAAATGTATAGTAAGTAGTAAATTGCCTACTCACGAGGATATAACTCAAGGAATGTGGCCAAGTCTGTTGGCTTGGTGACGTTGCGCTGCTGAGTATTCTGGTCCGTCTCATACTGAACAAATAATCCAAATAAAACAATCATGGAAATTTCCAGGCCTATGGCTATGAGAGGGAATTTGAACCTCATGTTTGTGGCAAAGGACAGAGGCGCACTGAGAGCTTCACAGGCTGTGAGATGTTGATAAGAACAAAGGACTGATCTGTGTGCAGAATTTTACTGCATGTTCAGGGAACCCCAATGACATCACAAGAAAAAAAAATGGGCAAGACTGGTTAAAATGCTCCACCCTCTGTGGAAAATTATGCTCTGTAATCTAATTGTTGTTCCAAATGTTGATTTGAAGAATATGCAATGAAGTTGTGAGAAGCTGGATGATGCCAATGATCTATTGCACAGGTCTCTAGAATCATGTTTAGCTTAGTTTAGTAGAATCTCTTGAGGGCTTATTGTATGCCAAACATTGTGGTAGGCTTTGTAGAAGCCATGAATTTAAAGAAAAAGAATTGGTCTATTAACTTCTTGAGGAAATTAAGGATCTACGTAGTTGAGAAAACATAAATATAAGCAAATGATTATATAAAAACATGTAAGTGATATAATAGTGGTTATGAAAGTATTAGAAAACATAAATAAGGCAGTGATACTTTTTGCCTTAGGCCAAGAACATTAGCATATAGAATAATAGTGATGTAAGAACTAAACATTATATAGGGTTTTGCAAATGAAACAGTTGGAGGAAATGGTATAAAGCTTGGGAGAACATGGCATGTTTTGGAAAGGGCAATTAGTCAAGCAAAGCTGGAACCTAAAAGAGACAAGGAGGAAAGGAGGAAGTGGCAGAGATGATGTTGTAATGGAGGTGGCTGTGTTGTAAAGTCCCTCACATTCAATATTGAAGATGCTAGATGTTAAATCTTATCCCATGAGCAATGATGGATATATAGGACTGTAAGGGGCAGTTTTGTTTATTTTTGAAGTTTTTCTTGACTCCTTACTCTGATTTACACAACTGTAAATAAGGAAGTACCCAAATGGGTTGTGTTATATGTTTTAGTCTTAAACAGAAAGAGACTGAACTTAAACAGGAGCATAACTAATCTATCACCCTGATAGACAGTCCAGTGTAAATAAGATGCAAGGCAATTCAAAACTATTATAGAGGTGGAGGAATTCTTGTCTCCACTTTGGAATTGTTCTCATGGCAGAATAAACCTGCTTTTGAGAACTAAGAGTTACCAGTTAAATAAAATTTCTTTCATGAAGCCCAATTTCCAAAAGATTCTATGCAGAATTTAGAGAGAGTGCAAGTGACTGCCAGGCCAAAGTCTACATTATGACAAATATTTGTAAAACAAAGCACCAGGATTTTTTGGTCCTTCTGGTATGATTTTCCACAGTAGAATGTGATATGTTAGGAATAAACAATCTCTGAAATTTTGTAAATATAAAAACACTTTGAAAAAATTACTATTTCCATTGTTCCTTATAGCATAGTACAAGAGGAGTGGGTTCACATGCTTAGCTATAAAAGTACATGTGTACATCACACACTTTAAGTTTTGGTTTTGCAGTAGCCTAAAGAGTGTTCCAACAAATTCTAAATGCAAAATATTTGCGTTAATAAACTATATATAAACTTGCGAAAACCAATTATCAAATTATAAATTGCAAGAACATCTAAACAATATCACAAATCAATATGGTTTTAAACTCTCTAATAAGAAGTGACACAATATATTATATAACCCAAGACCTATGGCGTCTCTTCTCTGGGACATATTCAGCAGCTCAGCAACCTCTCAATGCATGGAGAGTAGAAGATTCTGTTCATACAGGTGATGGTACTACACTAGGACTTTGAGGAGTTCAGATTTGTTGCCTTCTTATGAATGTAGACCCTTGTATTGAAATAAACTGCATCATGTGCCATCTGGGAAAATATTTCTCTTGTTCAGCTCTTCACATAAGCTGCTCTTTCTAATTGGAACTTTTCCCACATATTCTCTGCCCCCAACCCTGTATACATCATCCATCATTCTTCATTTTCCAGATAAAATGTTACTTCCTCAGAAAAGCCTTCCTTGATCTCCCATCTTAAACCAGGTTTTCACTGTTATCTCTCATTGAATTGTGGTCTTTTGTTTGCATTTAGTGTAGATGGCTGTCTGCTGTGTGTGCTATATTTATGTAGCATTTTTATTTACATTTTATTTTTAAGAGTGGTTGTTTCCCTTACTGGCCTGCTAGCTCCACAAGAACAGGGGCTGTGTCTCTTTTGCACCTAATTTGTTATCTAGAGTGAATAATACTATGTCTAGCACAATATATAATTGATAAACATCATTTGAGTGAATTAAGGGCAGACCTGAAGGGAGAAACACTCCACAGGCAGGGCAGCAGTGTGAAGGAAGGGAGAGAGGGACAGTTTTACTCTAATACATTTCATTTTAAATTATAAATATGTAGAATCCTGGCAGTAGCTTTCATACTGCTGTGTACTCTCAGCATTTCAATCAGTGAGGGCTTATCATCAGGTTCTCTGTGCCTGGAACAAAAGGGAGGATGAAGCCCAAGCCATGAAGTTTGGGAGGGCCAAATTCCTGGGCAGCCCAACACATGGTAGTGTGAACCTGAAGATTTAAAAAAATCTCTCTCATGACAGTTCTGAATCATAAAGACAATTGGCTTAGGGTATGGGTGTCCTAAAGTGGAAATGATTTATCTGTTGCCTTGTCTGTGTATGAAACTACAGAGATGGCTTTCTTCTAGTTTCTTCAGTAAATGAGGTAAAATCAGAAAGAATCATGAATGGGTAAGCCATGGTCTCATGCAAACCAAACCAAACAAAATAAAACACACACCATGCAAATGAAACTTCAAGTTCCCAGCTAAATACATAGATAGAAATGAAGTATTCCTGGATTAATGTAGGAGCCACTGGGTTACATGGGATCTTCAACCTGCTGATCCTCAACTTGCTGTGTGACTTTAGAAAAGAAACAATTTCTTTGTTTTATTTTCTGAATACATGTAAAATGTAGCTAATTGTTATTATTAGAAATTTTAATTTGAGTTTGTTTATTTTTAATAGCAAAGAATAATTGAAACAGGACCACCACTGCTATTTTTAATAGCAAAGAATAATTGAAACAGGACCACCACCATTAAATGGTCTATTTCTCTCTGCCTTTATATATCCATAATGGTTGTGGAAGGTGGGAGGTATTTAGGAAGAAGAAGATACTAAATACTTTTAGCATTTTCTGTTCTGGACACTGTGTTAGGTGCCTATTTATCCACCTTGTATAGTCCCACTGAAATTTGATGTATTTTTATACTTTGCAAGCATAGCTTGCTCCATTGGTTTATATATGCAGCTACTCAAATGCTCAACTGTCAGACTGGTGTGAGGTCCAGTGACCCCCTTTTGGCGCTTCTTTAATATTTTCCTTCGAAAAAGAGACATTGGGTTTTATTTAGTCCTATGGGATGGCCAGTCCAACTTCTCTTCCCAAGTGAGGAGCAGACACAAAAATTTCTTGCTGCCATATGGGATCTGGTGAAAAAAAGGTCTTTCTTTCCACAAAGGCTCTTTGCACCTTCTCGGGTCTATGGTGGATGGCCTTCCCCAGGGCGGTCTCTCCAGCTACCTGGTTGCACTCAGCATTATTTCACAGAACACTGGAACTGAGCAGGGTTACAGGACCAGAGAAATCAGCACCAGCATCTCCAAAGCAGCTGCCCAAGGCTTTGGAACTTGTCTTAAGCTAGAGACTCAACACTTTTGGGCTATGGACACTTTTGGCACAAGCCTTTGAATCCCACATCAAAATACATTTTAAATGCACAAAATAAAATACATAGGATTACTAAGGAAACCAGTTATATTGAAGTACAGTGATCAAAATTCTGTAATATAAAAGAAGCACCTACACCCAACTATCAGATGTAGGTGCTTCTTTATAATGGATGAAATAACAACATATAGTAGCCTGTCTAATAATGAGCATTAATTTTCAAGTTGGAGTAATGAGTGTAAATAATATTTTGAGATATCTGAAACAAGTAAAAAAGGAGAGATCATTATTTGTGACTTCTATTAGTGACAGTTATCAATACTATTAATGATACTGTTGTTTATTTTCCTCATTCACAACAGAAAAAATATTAAATTTCAGTTAAATGCACTCTTGGTTCCCTATTTAAACATATGTGCTATCTGAATTCTATTTATAGAAACCCAGGTTAAAAATGCCTGTTTTTACTATGGCCAACAGCTTTATTTTTCTTTTTCTTCTGTCTCAGGAGGCTTCCTATCATTTCTTGCCCCGATAATATGGACATATTAGTTTATGTCAATGAATTGTGTTAACTCTGAATTCCAGGGAGATGTTAAGGAATATTGGTTAAAATCTTCTCAGAGGACCCTGTATTCTTTAGACAAGTTACCTTTTCCAAGGTAACTTTTATCTTCATATTCTCACCAGAAATGTATGAGGATTATGATTTCTTCACATCCTCACCAATACTTGTTGAGTTTTTAATTTTAATTCTAGCTATCCTAGTGGGTGTCAAGTGACGTGTTATTGTGGGTTTGATCTGAATTTCCCTGACAACTAATTATGTTGTCAAGATTTTTTACCTTTCATATGATTAACTTTGCAGAAGAGCTAGGGGGCCTCTGAAGTGATCTTTGGCAAAGACAACAAAACTACCTTCTTCAAGTTAGTTAAAAGAGAATTCTATAGAGAGATGATAAACTTGAGGCTGAGAGTTTCAGCAACTTGCTCAAAGTTGTACAGCAAGTAGATGGCAGAGCCAGAATGAATACAGATTTGCCCAATTTCCTGGATTTAACTTCTTCCTGCTATGCCATATTGCTTTTCCTTTTTTAAACCAGTATTTATTTATTTATATGGCTACATAGCAAAATATCATGTGTACCCCATATTGTTTTTCTATGTGAGATAAATTATGTTGACACTGATCTCAAGGTACTGACAATATCAAAGAAACTTCTGAAACATAAAAAAGGAATTAAAAATTTTATAACTATTTTCTAATTAGTTTTTAATTTTACTTTAACTTGGAAAGTGCTGTCAAATTAAGATATCAACTTTTCTACT